TCTCACTTTCCTTCATTTTCTCTTATTTTCTCGAGCTCTGCTTTTTATGAATATAAAAACCAGAGAAGGAGAGCAGGCGAGCAGCCATACTCCCATTCGGATGATGCCAAATTGCCAACCCCTTCAATTTCAGTTCAACAGTTTTACCACCTGAAAATATTTTAGTTACAATTTACATAAGATTATGGATTTTTGAGTAATTGTAAGGACAGGTCCGAGGTGCCAAGCCTCAGACTGCTACAGTAATTTTTTTATGACCGAAGTGAAGGATAAACCCAAAACTTCTTGCTCAAATAGCTGCATGACAGTAATAATGAGCAGCCCGCACCCAATTCCTTATGATGAGCTACACAGCGGTTATGATAGGCATCCTCCCATCGGAATATCTCTCAATTTCCCGGTCCCGAAATAACCGTTTGGAGATACACATCAGATCCCGAATATCTTGCTTGGCATGCCACGTGGGTTCCTCATTAGATCCTATAAATACCCCCGGGTCACGTAAAAAGGTAATTGAAACCAACCCTAAGCTCTTTTTATCTCCGCCCTAAAGGTAATTCCGATTATTGCTGACTTAAGCATCGGAATGTCTACCCCGAGTTCCACCTCGGGGCTTTGCAGGTCATCCCAGAGTGCAGGTGCGAACTGAAGAAGTACTTTTGGTTTGGTGCAATTACAGTAATGATATTATATTAAATAAGTAAATTTATAAAATATTTTTATATTTTTTAAAATAAAATTATTTAATTATATAATAATATATTATAATTATAAATTTATAATATTATTTAATATTGTAACTTCGTCATCTTTTTCACTTCTTAGTTTGCTACCCTCTGTTTTGTTCCTTCATTTTTCTCTTATCATTACACCCACTCTCTTTCCTGGTGTGACACGTGTCATTTACCCAAATAAGGTCTCTTTGGCTTACATTTTTCATTTTTCTTTTCCATTAGTTCTAATTTTTGTTTCATATTTATTTAGGTGAGAAATTTTAGTTCATATATTTATAGCAAACAAAATTTAATTTTTACCATTGACAATGGTTAATATTTGGTTAAGTTAAATATTTAAATTAGTTTATAGCTCTTTGACTAGTGAGTAATGACTTATTCCATAACCATCTCATAACGAATTAACAATTTGTTTGGCGTTTGAGTAATTACTATATATTATTTTCTCCTTTTTCTTTTCAAAATTTCCATTGCCCTTGTATTATTTGCTCTAGAATTTTCTTTTTTTTTAGAAAATTAATTAACCACTTTTAGATACTTTTGACTGTGTGAATGCTTCGTAGAAAAAAAGGGGATTTAATAAAAATATATGTTAAGAATGTAATAATTTATATTATAAATTTATATTAAAAATATAAAAATTAATTTTTAATTTTTTTATTATCTAATTAAATTAATTTACTTAACATTAATAATAAATTAATATAAAGTTTTATATTATATATATTTATGACAAAAATACTAAAAAACCCTATAGAAAACTATTTTATTTAAAATGAAGATTTTATATATTTTATTCATAATAAACGGGTAAATTAAATAGAACCAATGTTATTAATTTTCTTATATAAAAAAATTAGGTTTAAAATAATTAAATAAACACAAAAATAATGTCAATGGGCTAAGTAACTTAGTAATCATTTTTTTTGCTAAAAATAAAAGATCATAAATTCAAGTAGCATAACATACTAATGAAGTGCGATAAAAGATGAAAGATAATTGTTTTTTATTGTATAATTAAGATAAAAAATAAAAAATAAACACAAAAATAATATTTAAAATATTAAAAAAAAGTTACTTTTTTATGGGTGCGAGAAAAGCAGTGACAGCAAAAGCTGGATTCTGCTACCGTATATTCCCTCAAAACACCTTTTTTCCCTTCCGATGAATACCGCCCTTATCTCCATCCTAAAAAGAAAAATTAAACAAAAAAATATCATAAAACTCCAAAAAAACCGCGTCCACGCCGGTTACTTTATCTGACCTTCCCAACAGATTTACGTTTACCAGATATTTTAAAGCAAGTAGTAAAAAATTGCTAAATTAATTTGCTTTTATTTTAAAAAAATAAAAAGGTATTGGGCTTTGGGCAGATAGCACATTACAA